TTGGTTTTTGGAAACGATCCCCAGTACATGTTCGAAGGAGCCTAACAGATAACATGGCGAGAATAATTCGAGTTTGCGGACCTTGAGTGGGATGATGTGACGACCGAAGTAAGAACCGTCACGACAAGGACCTTCACCCTCCCAAATAAAAACGTACGGATGAGATTGCCACCTTTCCTGCTGTGATGGATGGGGGGCGTGGAGCGCGTCGTGCAGGCAGTGGCGATATTAGCCACAGTTTGAACTTTGAGGAAACTTCGATATATCAAGAGTATCACCGCGCCTTTCTAGAGATGGGGCCGGGGATGCGAAGTTACAACGGGGGGAAACTGGGGAAAAGCCGGAGGGAATAAGTGAGGGACCCAAGAAACAAGGGGAGATAAGGAGAAAGATGCCTCGATGCCATGTGCGTCGGAAGGGGCGCTATTGGAGAAGGTGAGACTGATAGACGCCTGAAGAACATTGGCAGAGATAGAAAGATTGACGGCGGAGTAGAAAGCAAAGTTTATGGAGGAAGTGATGAATGAAAGCGAGGGGGATTTTGTCGGGGCAAGGCCGAGGGAATCAGACCAAGGCCGAGGGAATCAGAACGATATAGGATAAGGAAGGAAAGATAGGACCGAGAAAGCAAAGGGACACCAGGTAAGAAAGGAAAAGAAAGCATGAGGTCCCCAAAAAGGGAGGCGGAAAAAGCTACGAACCCGTCTGCTATAGATAGCAGAGCAAGCCGGCCAGCAGCTGCATCAATGATCGCAAGGGGGTGCGAGGGACTTTGGAGCTTAAGATAGAGGGTGTTAGGATGGTTCGACCCTTAGGGCACAACGGAAGTCGGAGAAGGACTTGAAGTCAACAAGGAAGGACAAGGGTCCGGTACCAGTGGTGAGGCAGTAGGATCTGAGCGAGAACTTAGAAAGATGGTGCCTCCCCTCATGCGAGCGTTAAACAAAAACCAGGGCTACCTGGATGACGCCAAGAAGAAGTTGACGTTAGACGCGGCTACCTGGATGATGCCAAGAAGAAGTCGACGTTCGACGCGGTGCCATATGAATGATCTATTTACAGAATGGCTTAGACCGTTTCGTGGTCGTACACCTAGAAACTCTTGAGTAGCATCACAAACACGTACAGATGCTGCTAAGTAAACTGCGAGAGGCAAAGTGTAGACTGAACCTCAAAAGGGCCAGGAGGCAAGTATTGTACTTAGGACATGTCGCTGAAGGAGACGAAGGAGGAGGGGGATCGGAGCCATAACTAGGGAGAGAGGGAGGGAGTTAACGAGCAAGTGAGACTGAGCGCATGAAAGATTGAGAGCACAGCTGGAGAGAAAGAGAGAGAGAGAGAAAGGGATAGATTAAGATTACCTATTTGATGATGCTGGTGATAGTGGCCATTAACTGCCTGTATTCGAACTCAATAACTGTTGTATAATATCGAAGTGTTTGGACTCTGGAGGGAATTCATATTCCTGTGTGCAGACGTGTCATTTCGATGCTTGGGGCGAATGTTCTTCGAGCTCTTGGTTTGCTACAAGTGTGATTGAGGGGAGGGAAGGGGCGTGGGGTGGGGGGGGTTGTGGTGAGCCAAGTTGGGTTCCTTGCAGTAAACTTGGTTCTCTTAATTTTGTGAACTTCTGTATTTGTATCCCTTGGCTTTCTAAGATTCTCTGGCCGCCATTTTGCTAGTGCAAGCAGGCTCTGAATTGGAAGCGCTGCCTTGGTCGTTTGCGCCTTTCGAACTATGCCTCCACTCCACACCCATAGCTCACGACGACAAACCAAGAAGCAGGGCGACAGCAGTGGCCAGCTGGGCAACAACAGCAGGACAACGGATTGACAAGCTCTCTCTCTCTCTCTCTTTCTCTCTCTCTCTCCCTCTCTCTCTCTCTCTCGTGCGCACGCGCGCCCTCGCGTGCACGCTCGTTCGCACTTTGTGTCCTCACTTTGCCTGTCTTTTCCCCCCTCCTCCCCGTCCTCCCCCTCTCCTCCCTCTCCTCCTGTTCCTTCTCCGCGTCTTCCTTCTCGTTCTGCTCTTCTTTCTGTACCTCTCCTCGTCCCCCACATCTTTCTTTGCCTCCTCCTCCTCCTCCTCCTCATCTTCATCCTTCTCCTGTATGTGCGCCATGTTTCGCGGTTCCCTTTTCCCCTTCTGAGTCCCCTGCCCATCTCTTTGCCCTTCTTGTGTCTCTCTGCCCAGGTCTCTGCATGTTTCTCTGCCTTTTCTTTTGTGTAATCCCAACCTAATTGTACCCATCTTATTCCATCTGGATTTGAGCCCATGGCCTGTTTGTTAACAGTTACTCGTGCGTGCCACCCAGAAGTACATAGCCTGAATTCCAGGCTGTATGCCTCTCTATCTGCATCTCTTTCTCTGTCTCTCTGCCTCCCTCGCTGCGCTTGCTCCTCCACTCCCCTTCAATCCCCTCCGTCCGTATGTCCGGTTGTCTGTCTGCCGCTTGGGCCATCGGTCCGTCTGTCTGCCGGTCCTTATAAGGGAGGAGAGACATCGACCTCCATATCTGCTCTTTCCACCTGCTCACCCATCTGCCGCTCTGTTTGGCAATCTGTCTGTGGACTCTGTTGCTCTATCTGCATGGCTCTTTGCCTGCCACACACACCCGCACATACACCCACTCTCCCTTCTCCTCTCTTCTTGTCTTCCTCCGCCTCTCTGGCCGGTCTCGCCTTGTCTCTTGCTGTCCCTCCTATCTTAACCTATACAACCTCCTCTCTGTCTGCTTGTCTTGCCGTTATTCTCTCTGCATACTTTTTGTTCATATCAAGTTAAATTCTCTCCATCTCTCTGTTTACATCCTTGTCTGTCTGTCTGCCTGGATATTTGTCCATCATTTCAACTGTTTGACCTCCTGTTTCTATGTCTGTCTTGCTGTTATTCTCTCTGCATCTTTTTCTTCCTCTCAATTCCAATCTGGCTACACCCATTTTCTTCGGTCAGCCTGTTTCTGTCGATCACTCCAATTGTCTCTCTTAGCCAGTATCTCCCAGGACCTCTGTCTGTCTCTCTGTCTAAGTTCTCACGTAAATGTCTGTTTAGTTGGCATGCCTGTAAACTTACCCTTGCCCCCCCCTGCGCCCCTTCTCTCTCTCTCTCTCTCTCTCTCTCTCTCTCTCTCTCTCTCTCTCTCTCTCTCTCGCCAGCCTGCAGGCTGCCCAACTCACTTGTCCATCTTTCAGTAGTAGGTTGCTATGTCTATCCATGGGTATGTGTGATGTGGTCTATTGGTGTTCTGTCCATTCATTAGTTGCTACATGCTGCGCCTGCACACGAGGGCCATTTTCCAGGCCCTGCGTCCCTCAGGCTAAAAGCCTGAAAACTAGGACCTACAGGCCCCGTGACTGTTCAGCCCGAAAGCCTGAAAACAGGGGCCTACAGTCCCTGTGTCGTTTCACACTAAAAATGGCAACAGCCTTTTTAGCCTGAAACGAAGGGCCATTTTCGGTCGTTCATCAGAACGACCGGCCCTGAAACTCAGGCCCCGAACCAGGGTTTCGGGAACAGGCTATTCTTAGCCTGTTCCCCACGTCAGCCTCAGCAGCTGCTGCAGCGCCAGCCCCTGGCACACTTCGGCATTGGCAATAGCAGCCTCCTCGGCCTGGCTCGCCCTTCAGGCAGTCGGAGGCAGGCCGAGGAAGTACATATGGACTTCCCATGCACGGCAGTAGTCTTCAGGATTCGGCCGCAGCACTCTGGAGGGAGCGCTGCAGGGAGTAGTAGTAGTGTTAGCCTTTAGTCTTCAGCGCTGGGCGCAGTAGGTAGCTGGAGCCTCCAGCGCTGGGCGCCGTAGCTAGGATAGCACTAGAGGGAGAGAGACTGGGCGGAGGCCTTGGGTACTCACCTGCAGCGCCGTTGCTCCAGCTTCATCTTCGAGGTACCTGCAGCACAGCGCCAACATCACAGGTTAGTATCTGGCTCATAACAGAGAGAGAGAGATAGTCCTTCTTCTTCCTCTTCTCAGCCCACCATCTCCTTCTCCCCCTCTCATCATCTGACTTCACTGCATCTGCAGACTACGAGAGAAGAGAGACAGAGCTTGGTGACATCGGATCCAGACTCGACTTTTGGACTTCAGACATTACAA